ATACATTGTCAGTTTGAGCTTTGTCAGATTGATATCTTATGCAAATGGTGTAGTGTACTCGTTTTTTCTTTTTCTTTACCAATACTTAACAATAAGAAAAAGATAATAATAGTAACAAAAAACCCAGTATGTTCACGGTGAGTTTGGTTTATGTAAAGGGAGACAACTCGAACGACATTAGTCTATTGAAAATCCAAGTTCCATGAAAATAAAACACCTGTTCATTCTAATATTAACAGTTGTTTGGGGTCACATGTACTACTATTAAACAATCACAGAACTTGTAACAAAGCACAAAAGCATGACGTTTGGAATTAATATATTTATTGCACAACTTATGATCATGGAATTGAGTACAAGTCGTCTGCACATGCATAGACTTTTATAGATTCACTAGGATGATGGGAGGATTTGATGACAAATAAGAAACAAAAGAAGATTTAAAGCTATACAAAATGCACCGAAAAACATTAATCATATTTCTACTATTTATTTTCCCACTTTATGATGATGTTCGGTGGTGAGAAATAGAGGTACGAGGGCCATTCAATAAATTCTTTAACCACAGCTACCGTACAAACGGGCAATACAATAGATCAGTGCCTTGGGAGACTGTAAAATCATTTAATGAACAATGCACGTGCAACATTTCGACATTACCCGACAAGACCGTTTATAATAGTATATTCAAATGTATAACATACATTTTCAGATGAGTACAAAAAGACCGAAACAGTGTATCACCATTATCACACATGGTCTCAGTATTTCGGTGGATACTGCGGTGTGTACCAAGGTATACCATGGAATGGTTTCCTGACATTAACCATCTAAAATCTATATTAACTAATATCTGGTTGAAATCTGCCCAGGACTTTTCTGAGGTGCCCTTAAAGCAAACGTTGACTGACGGATTGACGATAGACAGCCTTCGGACCAGGTGAATTAGAAACCATGGTATACCAGTAATACCTCCCAGCCCTACGTACATACACTAAAACAAGCCATTATTATCTACTGAACTTTACAGAAGATATTTGTTAATCTTCTCAAAGGTGATCTATCTGCTACAAGTCCGATTCTCCATCATATTGTACTTGATAAACTGTTGTTGGATCTCCGTCCTTACCAGACAATATGGGTATAACTGTTCCTTTATACCAAGGCTTAATATTACGCGATTAATCTTCTTTCCATTAATGTCGACTTTTTTACCAGCAAATTTCAATTCTATGGTATTCCGTAGTCTGAATATATAACACTGCTGTATAATAATAATAATTTCCAGTATCAAATTGTCAAATTGTTCCATAATAATTTATAACTAGGGTTGTCAAACCGGTCAAATTTTGCTAACCGGTTACTCGAAACAAATTCTTATCGAGTAACCGGTTAATCGGTCAATTTGTTTATCAAATAATAAACACACAGCAAACACATGATAGGTTTAGCAAATGATCTATTTAAAACGCATGTACACCACAAACATACACGTATATTAATTAGCATGATAGTTTATTCATGTATTTCAAGCTAAACACGGGAAACAGTTTTGATTTTGTACAGATGTATTCTCAGTGAGTTTATTTCATGGACAACAAATGTTGGAATACAGTAAAGCGGGATTCAATTACAATTATCTGTACTCGAGATCATCAGAGGAAGTATTGTCCTTTAGAACAACATTTGATGGACAAACGTTTTAAGGCATGCTTCCTCATTCAAGTGTCTACTCTTCAGATTATATTTACATCTCGCATGTAAAAGCGAGCTCTACCTCTAAACGTTGATATTTCACAACCTTGTATTCTGGCTTCCGTTTAAAATGTGTTCAGATCTTTTATGGTGTTGACGGCATCTCTTTGTCAATATTTACAATAGAGACCAAAACCAACACAAACATGTAAGCCTGCACACTGTTTATATAACAAAACTACCCGATTTTGGTCACATCTATAGATTATTGGGCACCCAAAAGGGGTAAGTGAAGTCTGACTATTCGGTTATTGATTTTGGTAACTGGACGTGGTGTTCTGACCGAGTTACCGGCTAACCATTGACAACCCTACTTTAAACCCTTCTTTAATTTGGTGGATTTTTTATCAGTGTTTCGGGCTACATCAGGTATATCCTTGTTACTGTCATTGACTGCAAAAATATTCATTGAATAAGTTTGCTTTATCTTCATTATTGGCTACAAAAATTCTAGAAACGTCATCAGCGATGATAGAGATTGAGACGTACCAATTTGAACTTACAGATTTCTCTCTTCTGTTGGGAAACACAATCACTTTTTCGGTAAGGCTTTTGTCGACAATGAGCTCTGGAAACTGTCAGTGACGTCAGGTGGATTCCAACCGTCATCAGTTGTTTCGACCTCTATTCCACGACGTCCTCATATTGGCGGGTTAGCAGTGGTGCTAGTCTCCAGTTCGGCTCATCCCGTTTGTGCCATAGCCAACATGATTCCCTCTCTGCAGTATAAACTTTGGTATTAATTGTTGATTGAAGTCTTCCTCCTGGATCCATACTCATATCCATACTCTCTCGGGCAACTTCCAAACTGATTATGCATGGTTAAAGCCAGGCACTCGCTCCGATTTTCCTACACTGCTCCAGAAGCTTTTGCTATTTTGCAGCCTTTCTTTCGTGTGCTTCGTTGCAAGCATTTTCGCAGGTGTGACCATATCACAATATCTTGTCTCGGTGTGGTCTGCACAACATCTTGAATGGTGAGCCGTCTACCGATATCTGTCCCATCTCCACATCTCTACATTTGCGTTGTTCTTCCTACTCCGATCTAACGACTTTCATAATCATGTCCTTTCTTTCTTTCCCACCCGCTTTGCTCCGCTGATGAAAGTGATCGACTCCGAGCCATCGCCTCCCTATACAGATGTTGCCTATGATGTCACGCAACTCCAGTGGTGCTCTCAGCTAGCTCTGCTGACTGTAGCTCCGGTTGACGACTTCCTGTCAGTCCTCCTGACCACTCTAGGTCTTGACAGGCAGCAGTGGTAATGTTGGTGGTAAACCAAAGATCCGTATCATCACCTCTTTTCATCAATCTCTGAACCTTTTTTGTTATAAGACTTGAAACGCTGGAAAGATAATTTTATAAGCTTTCAGATAAAACTGACTGCGGAATTGACTCGGATACATCACGTTTGCTGAACAAAGAAGGACTGTGTAGCTCTCGCGTTTTCCGCCTGTTCTATATCCAGAATAAATGTTTTGTATCCTCTTAAATGGCATACAAATCGTTTTGAAAAAATGCTGAGTGCGCGTGTCCCGCACATACTACTTCCTGGAAAATTACGTTTGGTAAGTGAGCCAAAGTAACAAAGAAGGTTTTTAATCAGCTGCTAAAAAACATCATTTGTTAGGCTTTCACGTAAAACTGGGTATCGATGGAAAGGGAAGTCTATAATATTTCAGATGAGCTGGACTGCACAAGAATCGGTTCACGTTGCCTCGGGTATATTACGGTGAAATTTGATTTTTTGATAGGAACAAATAAGGACTACAGATCTTATCCGGGATGTTTTACATGTAAACGCGAAAGCTACAAGTCCCTTTCCTTTTCTTAAACCCCCCCAACTCCAGCTCAATTATCAAATTGATGCATTCCTGAACCGATCCATGAGCAATCAGATTTGTCTGACAGCTAGTAGATTTCCCTTTCTGTTTCGAGAGCTGTTGAAATGAATTATTTTAATTATAGTTAAATTTCGCATTGACCACCCTAGCCATTGTTACTACATGTTTCATTCCGGTATGTTGTTCAGTTGGTAAATGTGCACCGAACATGTTTTGTCTGTTTTTATTCACAGCCTGCACAGTTACCAAAAAACATCAATCTAATTGCTGATGAACTGTATCAATCACGCAGACTAAATACCATTAATATAACAACTAATAATAGAAGCAAAGCTCCAGTACACTAAATATAACTTATCGCAGATTTAGAAGATAACGATGTAGCCTTTAACCAATATACGCCATTCCGTCTTTTCGTATTGCAGAGTTATCTGCTCTTATTGATTGTTACGTCATTTGTTTGCGAGAGTATTGTCATTAATTTTTGAGAAAACGACATAAATTTCTCACACAAACTAATAACGTAACAATTAATGACTGCTCACAAGAGCAGATAACTCTGCAATACGAATAGACGGAATATATTTCTATGTATGTAAATATGTCTGAAGTTCGCGTCACCGATTTAACTTTATCAGGTATATCGAGTGATAGGGAGATTTGAGACTGAGGATGTAACTTGATATTCAATTAATATTAAATGTAAAACCAATTAAGACATAATTGATAAATGCCGTTGTAACTAATAAGTATTTTGAAGAAAATTCCTAACAAATAGAACGTTTATATATCTTACAGATTGTTAAATTTGTAACTTTAAAAGTGGTACCCTTCATGTTATACTACATTTCTTTATACTGTCATGTTTCACCTTGAGTGTATATGGTTCAGTAAGTAATGTCTTTGTTTTGATGTCTGCATCGACTTTCTGAATGTTTCAAGAGATCTTTCCTTAATTTGTGCTTCTAGCGATCATTTGAAAAAAACTCAGGATCATCAATGCAGTATAAATCAAATACTTTATCAATGCTACTATCAAGGAATTATAAATGCTCAACATCAAAATAAGATATGCTTACCGACTTTCAGGTAACAAACACTATGTTAGGAAACTCATGAGGTATATATTTTATAGTTATTGGCGACAAGAGACAATTGCGAGCTAAATATCTCGCGAATTTTATTCTGAAACAATTAAACAGACACATGATAGCGGTCGTTGTTACTTTAGGGTGATTAAGACTCGCATGGATATGTTACGAACAATCGTTGAAATAACGCCAAGCGAAATGTTAGTGGTTTTCAGCAGTCAACTTGCAATCTGATAAGATGCATTTGCTTCAGCCCGCTTTATCTGAACTATTACGTAGATAACCGTGTTCTGTGCTTGGACTCGATATTGTGGGCGGACCAGTAGCTAGTAGATGTAGATCATAAGATCTATATCAAACATGTGATACACGTCTAAATACTATATCTATCACAACTCTGATAGAATGCAATTGCTAACTGACCCGGTACAACTTGAAAATGTAAACAATACTTACCATTTTAATTAAGATGCAAAATGTTTCTGACTGAGTGATCTCCACTGATATGGTAAGTACAAACAGTTTAGTTTGAATATTACGGGGGGTAGCTGTCTGTCTCTTTGGTTGGAGGACGGCTAAGGTAAGGGTATATTCGCAATGCAATTAACTACGGCGACTATGGACCCTTATTGCATTAACCACTTTGTCTTACAAGACATACATGTAATCTGCATCAATAGATTATAATTAACATGCAATGTTAATAGTTTGTTAGCTTACAGAAAACAGGATTACACACAGTGCAAAGAAAAGAGTAACATATAGGATGGAAATGTCGTAATATATTACTGGTATATTCGTATGGTGCATGCTCTAGGAAGAGATCATTAACATGTCTAGAGTTTAGAATATGAAAATAATCTCAGTTACAACACAAAATATTATCTCAAAGTAGCTTCATATCCACTTCATTGTTGAAGATGAGTATGTCATAACTGGTATTGAAGTTTATAAAATGTTCAGTAAGTTTTGTGTTCATACGAAACGAGTCTAGATGACTTAATTTTAAATTTGCTCTTTCGGCCTTAAATGGCAAATTCGGTACGAGTTTGTGAATATCATATGAAATGGAAACTACTTTGAGATTTTTTTTATCATATTAGCAAGAATATAATATATATAATGGTCTTCCATTGACTACCACATATATATATTACGAGTACGGCGGTGAGTTCTGCCATACAAGTATTAACATCCCCTATACATTATTATTAAAGAACACTCATATTTGACATGGACAAAGGCTTAAACAAGACACTGATAACACAAAACGCACACAGACAGACAGACAACAAACAGACAGAGATATTGTGATGTTCGAGTAAATATCTACTTGATGAGTGTAAGGTGCATGATAAGATACCTCATAACAAAATACAGGTGGTTGATGCAATGGGAATTGATAATTTAAGGAATTACTTTATGTATAAAAAGAATCACCAAGGTGCAGGCATGTTTAACTACTTTAATCAATTAATGCAATTCATTAGTAAACTTATTAAGATTTTGTTCCCCTTTATATAAGCAATATATTTCTGAACCTTACAATATGCTTTTAAACAAATTTCCTTACACCATAGGATTAAGCGCTCTTTGTAAACATCTAGTTTTGTATGTATCAAATTAAATGAAAACACTTATTTCATATTAATTCTATTATAGATTCATGCTTTTTCAAATAATCCAAAAATCATATATTTTATATTAATTGAAAAGGGAATTGCAAATGCATTTAAGACATTTGACTCAATGTCTCGGTCTGACTTAAACTGGTTAGACTTGTTTGAAAAATAAGGTTGCAATGCCTTTTTTGTGTTTTGTTTTCCTTGTTATGTCTCCTTTTTTCCTATCCCTGTCTTTTGTAGTTAATTTTGTGTTACTAGTTTTGTCCTTGTTTTGTTGTAATTTTTCTTTCGCATTCCCATCAGACAGGCCTTACGTTTTATCTTTGTCACATGCTGTCTTGTTTACACACTCAATAACACACCATCTCACTTCACAATGGCTTGTTATCTGTTATCATAACTAGTACAGTGTGTGGTAATCATGAATACACAACGCGACGAGTAAATTCACCACAGGAAGCTTTTATATACATATCGGACATTCAATAGAAAATAAAAAAATAAAAAGGAAAAGAGTAAAATTATTCACAGCATTAACACACGAGGACAAAAACAAAGCTCAAATTTAAGATGAAAAGTCAACAACGGGCACTAAGGAAACTTGAAAAACTAGGGAACAACTATTCCAGACGAACACTGAAATCTTAGACAACAAGCTCGTGCATACACTTTCTATCAGTACACAGTCCAACAATTATGGAGAAAAAAGTCATCCCTGGTGACCAAATTACTTTTCAGCACATTTTGTTTTGTTTTTCAACAATGACAACTGTATAAGAAGTAGCTTGCTATTTTGCAGTTTATGAAGTGATAACTCAAGTTGATACTTGTGACTGCTAAATTTATTCGCGCTCATCAGGAGTTAAAAGTGTGAAGTAAATCACACATTTCATGTTATACAAAAATAAAAGATCTTAATTTACTTGTATATTTTTGAGCCTTGGGCAGTAATCTCACGGTCTCCTATGGTGGCATGTGATGGGTAGAACAAAATTGGTCGGTTTATTAGAATAACATGATATCTTCAGGAATGTATGATTTTCTTTTCAATTGAAATGAAGAATATGATACTTCGTTTCTAGGGTTATTTTTTTAAATTTTATTTTTCCCTTTTCAAGGACTATGTCTGCTGTACCTGATAACGTCCCTACAGACCGCCATGAAAGTCGAGGAATGTAAGTATCAGAAGATATTTAAATTGTTGTTATTGTTAGCAAGATGAGGCAAGATGTATAAAACTATATTGTTGTATTAGATTTGTATGAGGATTAAGTGTACTGTTTAGTATTAATGTGAAGGGAAGATGACGTTAGTGGTGTAACACTATATAGATATGCCTTGATATTGTTGTGAGATGCCATCAGATGTACACGTGTAGTACTGAATAGTTGTGAAATGAATTTGTAAGAAGATTACGTCAATTATATACTACTTCTAGTTTTGCATTAGTTACGGAGATGACGTTAACTTAATACGACATTTTAGTGAATTGGTGTTTTAGGAAGATAATTTTGATATTGTTTGGATAGATATGTTGTTGTTGTATTATTATTTAAAGGACGTTTAAGTGTAATACATCGTAATGTATTGATGCTGTATATGTGTTACAGTACATGTATTGATGCTGTATATGTGTTTCAGTACATGTATTGATGCTGTATATGTGTTTCAGTACATGTATGTTTGTACCTATATTGCATTGAGTTAACGTGTTTTGTGTTATGCTATGTCAATGTGGTGTGTATGTGTTGTATTAAGGTGACGTTAGCTGAGTATGATATTAAGTATTGTCAGTCATTGTAAGATTATGACGTTGATAGTGTAAAACAATATTGCTATGATTTTGTATCATAGGCATATATTATTTTCGTACAAAACATAAATTAACTTATAAATTAACTCCAAGTTTTCGTTTAAACCCTAATGAAAATAATAGCAAGAAAATGCATTGCATATCATTATTAATTGTAACGTCACAACATAATACCACAGCAATGGACTGATTATTCATTGTTGAACTGTCAGTATTACGCAGTTGTTATTGCAAATTATAAACACAAGTTTTTACCCGTTTTGTTCAATATGACAATGTTACAATACCATTTTATTCCATAAAAACATGATTAAAATTGTTTATAAGCATTATTGAGAACCCTCCGGATTTCATCATGCTATGCATTAAAGACATCGATGTTCAAAATTGTAAAAAATCTTTCATTTGTTTTACCCAAATGAATATTCAGAAAATTCGTTTAAATGATTCGAATAGAAAGATGATATCAGCGGTGTTTTGGTGTGTAGTGGTATTGTTGGACAGTTGTGCTCTCTTGAAATACCTTATGTATATTGCTGATTGTTTTACCTGATAGGGAAATTGCGTTATCTGATTGTTTTACCGGATAGTGAAATTGCGTTATCTAATTGTTTTACCTGATAGGGAAATTGCGTTATCTGATTGTTTTACCTGGTAGGGAAATGGCGTTATCTGATTGTTTTACCTGGTAGGGAAATGGCGTTATCTGATTCTCGTGTTAGACTGCTCTATGACTTTTGGATGTTTCTTCAACATCGACATCATCAGCGCCGTCCAAGCAGACATACAGTGTCAGGACGTAAGTAATGCCAGAAACGAAATATCACTTGCTCCTTATATTGTTTACATATTCATCGGCTAATCTGTATAAACCTGCAATACATAATTTAATATTATAATAACTAACATTTCAATACACCTAGTATGTAACGTGTATTGTCTGCGTCCCACATTTCTATTAGAACTACAACATATCAATAGCCTCCGATGTCCATGGGAGATGAATTTAATAACGAAAGTAAGGAACGGAATGCAACACATAGAAATAGCTGTTTTCTTATACAATCAGAGGGTAGTATTGGTGTGGGGAAATAACATATTAATTTCAATGAATTACTGTTGATTGATTCAAGTTTGAATGTCTTATAATAATATAAATTCTCATGGAAACATTTCCTATCCCAGGTAAATGAATCTATATTTATGTTTTGAGTGGATATGTATAAAAAAAATACCTAATATGATAACAGTTGGTATTTTTCACTTTAGACTGGAAATTGCCAAAATATAACAAGTAATGAAACGTGTTGCGAGGGTTGTCTGGGGCTGGGTCCCGATCGGTACAACCAGCTTTACACAGCCTACTTCTGGATGTACGTATATAACGTCATAACACAGTGAAAGGGTACAGCTTGACACCAAATAATGTCAAAAATAAAATAAAGTCACATCTTGTAAAAGCATCACTGGTAACAACATTTCAGTTATCTTGTCATTACAATCAAACAACTTAGTATTATCTTTCTTGATTGTTACTAAATAATAATACAATATGTTCTTTAAGCGTTGATGTCATTTATGGTTTGTAACAGGAACGCACTATGTGCCTTACCAGGAGGTTACATCATCGACAGGATCGGAAACCGAGGTAAATATTCTTCTCCTTCTTCTTTTATGTAGTGTATGTATAATACAATAAAACATACATTTGAACTTTCTTCCACAGTTATACCACACTCATGTAGGGTTAATAGAATCTATCAAATGTAAGTTTGAATTCTACCTGAGACTGTAGTGTTTGGGTCAGAACGGACGCTTCGATAAGGTTCTGAGCCCAAATTGTACAACCAATGGTATATTTCCCCAACCGTCACACAATGACTGACTCATTCTCATCCCACTCCTACCGGAAAGAGTGCAAATATAGTAAGGTAGTTATTCTTGGTACCAAATTGAATTATTTGTTTTCATACACTCCTCAGTCAGGATATTTTTTTTTATATATATAGTCCCTGAAATTATGGTCAGCAGCTGAACCTTTGTGGGATAGATTTATCCTAAATGGCTGTTATACCTGGGACAGGTGTGTCATACACACGCAAAGTTTGGATGGAAACGGTTTTATTGACTGCACAAAATCATTTCTAAAACTACATTTTGAAAATCCTAATTAAGAAGTACATGAGTATATCGTTTGAGTTCAATATCTTGTATTTCAATGCGATAATGTTGTCATTTGACAAAATTGAAGAACTTTTCTCATCAAAACTGTCGGTGACTGATATAATCTCAGAGGAGTAAACGATTATAAATAGGCTTTGAGTTTTATCAACTCTTTTCTATACCCTTGCAATGTTGTTCTTTTCTACCGTTATCGAATATGTTCGTTGCAATCGACATTTTACTATCATTTTTTTTTCCAAAATTCAAGGTAGAAGTTGGGGAAAAAACGTTTTAGTGATAGCGTATATGTTGGGCATTCGAAATTAGAATTCCCTAACCTCTATACCTACCATTCTTTCATATGATAAACTCTATGATAATATATATAGTTACCATGTACAAGTGTACTGATATATAGATGCGTTATACATGACATAAAATTGACGATATTTATTCTACAATTTTTGGAGATGTTATGATATTGAAAATTACAATTAAATCATCATGCGTTTTTGTTTTATCAGTATCCGCTGTCATCGTTACGACGATGGCTAGTATTGGTTCCCTCCTGTTTGCTGTCGCCACCATGGATGGGATCCAGGGAACAACCGCAATGTTTCCACTGATGATATGTGGTCGTCTGCTTGTCGGGGCGGGGACTGGGTTGTCTCTTAGTATGTCTACCATCACGCTAAATCGACACTTGTCTTCAGTTATGGACTTGATTCAGTATATCCCACTTCGTTTAGTTCTCAGGCTTTAAGAGTGTAAACGAAATATTCAACATCTAGATGTTTCTATTTCATAATTTCTGTTTAAGGTACTTGATACCTTATAAATTATGTAATTGATTGATCGACTTTTATCAAATTGCACCGATATTGATTATATGGTATAAGTGTGAATATATTGTAAAATTTGATCAAACAAGCTTCAACAGCAGTGCTTTTTTTAAAGGTCAGATATAGGCATTTGGTTGATCTGTTATGATATATTCTGAACTTTTTAACTAATGCTTCTTTTTATACTTTTGTAGTTGTTCAAGACCGCGTTGTCGCGTTTTGGTTCAAAGACAGAATCTCTTTTGTTTATGGATTTGTAATATTTGCGTTACGTTTGGGAAACGTTTCAAATTTTCTTCTTACCGCCAACGTAGCGAAAGTGTATGGGATACAATGGGCCTTCTGGCTGGGTGAGTTGTTCAGGTCTTTATACACTTACAATGAATGCCGAGCACATGGAGAGAGAAACAACTTGCCAAAAGTAATTTCTATGTATTGTTACAGATTGAATTTTGAAACAAGTTGAAAGAGTTGAAAATTTTATTTTAAAAACTTATTACACAACTGACGTATACCACTTGCATTATATTATATATTATTAGTAGGTTGGGTAATCATTTGAAAAAATCAGGTCATATTCATGAGTCAATATTCATGTTTAAAACAGATAGAAATATGATGAAAAATGATGATAACAAAAGAATACCAGGCTATCATCTGGCTTAGTCATAGTGTTTTCAGATAATTTTAAATTTGACATAAATTGGAAGTTCGTTTCATTTGCAGAAATTCAATCTCATTGGTTGATCAGTATCAAAAATGTCAAAAATATTTTTTCTAATCTGAAACATCGTGTGATACCACATCGTAACTTTAAAAATATGAATTATTTGTTATTATCTAGGAACGCTAACCTGTGTCATCGGGGTTCTATGCGCCATTAGTTTAGCAATTGTAGATTATTATGGTACAAAACAACTTGATGATGACTGCAAGATGAACATGAAAGCTCTGCCCGTGGTAAGTTATTATTTTGATCTTAAGGTCTATCAGATATAATTAAGGCATGACCTGAAGTGATTCTTTATAAAACATAATACACTTATATTGCTGTTTGGTATAATACTAAGTATATATCATTATATATATATAACATTTAAGCATGTATACAATACTTAGCATATATACAAATGAAAAATGGTTTCATTATTGCTATTTTTAAAGTCGCGTAAAGACATCCGTGAGTTCCCGGCTTCTTACTGGATGGTTTGTTTGATGCTTATGTCCTATTACGCCAGCTATTTGCCTTTCGTGGGAAACGGAACGTAAGTATCCGGCAAAAATTAACCATGATAAGAAATGTATTGTCTGATCATAAGTGCAAATCTAATCATATGCAGAGAGATGATGAAAGGTGATTGACTTGAAAATAATACAAATATGATGTTCCTGACAGTATATCTATATGTAACTGATATATAAATCTCATGCATACAATTATAAGTTGTATGTATAAATAACTATGTACATTATTATTTAGTACGTCGAGAATATCATTGGTTTCTTCATAAATGATAATGATGTATCAACGAATGGAATAAACGTTATTCATATACTATTCTTATCTTATTTGTCACAACAGAAAAATATCAACTTCACCTTTTATACGTATAATATGAATAATACAAATAAGTACGATTATACTGTCACAGACACGGTATCGCTACATGCTATATTGCAGTAGAACCTGTATACTGTATCACTATTAACCGTAATACAGTAAACCTTCAATAGATTACAGAAGAACTTGTATATTCTCTCTTAATCTTATTTTTCTTTACTACATGAAATGCTATTTTTTAATCCACACTATGACAGTATGTTAGTGTATATCATGCCAATTTGTACCCTTTGCTATTTTAGCATGTATGTATAATAAACGTTTATAAATATGTGTCAAAACTTTGAATTTTATATAAAAAACATAATATAATTAAATGTTAAGCCTTGTGATAACATTAAAAAATTGTGCAATTGATTGTCTAACTTACATGTGACATTACCGTGTATTCTTCTGTAATGAAAAAATGTCTGCTATGCTATTTATATTAGCTCGTTTCTACTTATACCATTACATTATGTTATTGTTATTTTATATACTTGTGTTTGTCGCAAAAATAGCTCTCAAGAGCTAATGTTCCAGGTTGATATGTATGCGACTCTAAATAAATCTTCTTGCATCTTGTATCTTGTATTCTGTTACGAATATAGGATATATAACAGTTAACCATGAATACAGTATACGATCTGTTTTATACTGCCATTTTTACCATGTCGCCATATTACAGCACAAAACCTATACTGTATTACGGCATTAGTATGTCTCGGTATTGTTCCATTACAGCAAATACATCCAGGATAGATATGGATACTCTAAAACAACATCCGCCTACTACAATGGAGCTGTATACGACATATCGGTTCTCATATCGCCGTTCGTTGGCAGTCTTCTGGTAAGTTGTGGTGGATAATAACATGGGATTGACTTTTTGAAAATGTTATTGAATGATGAAGGTCTTTTACCATGTAGTCTCTTATAATCATCTATCTACTGCTTTATAACACCTACCAGTAGCATGAAAATGGCATTTCCACTGGTTGGCAGTATGAGTATACTTGAGAAAGACTTGATAATGGATTATTTCATTTGGGAATGGATTTGCTAAAAAATAGTTTCATATACACGCACCATGTTTTCAGGGTTGGTCGTGAGAACAATTGTCTCATCGCAAGCAAGTTAATAAAATCTCGAATCCGTCTGAGGTGACCTTCCGATTTTATCCACATCCATGTAGTCACGATAAACTCTAAAAACACAGTGTGATAATCTTTGAATAAATTCTTTGAATTAACCAAAAAAACACCCAACATTAACAGAGGAGATATACAAAAAGGAAAGAATGTATGAAGATAAAAACAGGTACTCTGAAATTACCTGTGACTACACATCTACCCAGTATATAAAGGATATAGCATTGGTTCTCGTTGGATATCATATAATCCACAAGTGTGGCAGAATCCTAATTAAAAAAAAAGTAGCACGAATGAAAACATCGGTACGCGCGCGCGGTATTTAAAATATATATAAAATTATATATATCAACATAAATATCATTGCGCCATTCATAAAAATATTATTTTTGTAGAAAATGAAATTGACACAAATTTTGTGTAGTAAACATTTCCTTTGTAATTTTAGAATGACATTATAAAGATTGGACAAAGATAATTAATTAGACCGAACAATGAAGTGCACTCTTTACTGTTTATGCGAAATATGCACTTCGGTTTTCGGTCTTTGCATCGATAGACCAAATTATTATCTTGTCCAATCCTTTATACATTTGGAAAATCGTTAACTTTTCTATTTGTTACACCAATTATGTAAATAAAAACACCATTGTTTCTACCGACGATTTATCTGCAGCTGAACGAAAGTATCTTCGGTTTTGAATGCAGTGAATAGAAAAAACAATTCTGATTGATCAACATAAAATCAATACGGGACCTAATTTCATAAGATGTAAAGAAAACATTTTGTATATGTTCTCAGCAGTGACAAAAAACGTTTTTTATCGAATTCTTGACACCTTTCTGGCTTTATTTCAGGCATTGATTAATTGTCACGGGATGGTTCTCATTGCTACATGTGTGTTCACGTTGCCTATCTTCCCACTCCTCGCCTATTGTCCAGAAGTTCACCCTCTCATTCTTACCATCTGGATGGGCGCCGCCTACACATTTGCCGCGGTGAGCAATATCTGTAAATTCTGAAATTATCTAAAGTGTCGACATATGACTGAATGAGATAGATAAAAACAATGATATAGGGTATTCATTCATATCAGGCACAATGATATACAAACAAAATTGTGGTCTGAAACAGATAAAAAAAATAATATCTCCCTATGTGTTTGCCTGCGTGTGTGCTGGAGATGTGATGTGTTCTGTTTGTAGTGGGACCGTGCTTCCAACGGCATAATTTATAGTGCCAACTCACTTGAATGCTACAGCACAGATACCACAACATCCACCACAGACCAATTTATACTCCACCTGGGTTGTTGGAGTTGTGTGGGCAGGAGCTCGAGAAAAACACTTTACCTGAATATCCATGCGAACGACGACTTCGGGGATCGAACCCCGGCCGCCTGCGTGGACGACCGGAGTATTAACCACTCCATAAGTCGGGCCATGTACATACATTTATAACATATACACATGTGTATATAACTTTATATAACTAATATTACAGGTCTGTTTGTGTCCGTGTATCATTATCTGTCCGTATATCATTATCTTTGTACCTTATTACAGTGTGTCTGTCAGTGTATCATTATCTGTGTACCTTATTACAGTGTGTCTTTGTCCGTATATCATTATCTTTGTACCTTATTACAGTGTGTCTGTGTCAGTGTATCATTATCTTTGTACCTTATTGCAGTGTGTCTTTATCAGTGTATCATTATCTTTGTACCTTATTACAGTGTGTCTGTGTCCGTGTATCATTATCTTTGTACCTTATTACAGTGTGTCTATGTCAGTGTATCATTATCTTTGTACCTTATTACATTGTGTCTGTGTCAGTGTATCATTATCTTTTTACCTTATTACAGTGTGTCTGTGTCCGTATATCATTATCTTTGTACCTTATTACAATGTGTCTGTGTCAGTGTATCATTATCTTTGTACCTTTCATTATCTTTGTAACTTATTACAGGTGTGTCTGTGGCCTTGCATTATTATCGTCGTGCCGAGGCACGCCATTGGTACGGCCATAGGTATTGCGACGTGCATCCAAGGTCTTGGTATTGGGTTGACAAACCTGTTAACGGGAAAATTCCTCGGCTTTACGGAAGAGTAAGATTTCATTTGTATACTTATTATGCAAGAATAGATATAAATTGAACAGTTCTGTTATGATATTAACGGCGTCTCAGGCGTGTTATTCATTCAAGTATTGCTATCATTTTTACAGAAAAATAATGAAATTCCAATGAATTTATAGAGTAACTTAGAGTGGAATTTAACTTGCATAATAACACATCAATATGCAGATGTCTTTTATCATCATACACTTTATCATGTTCTTCATTATTGTAAGGTTCGACTTTATAAAAACCGTCGATATATTGCCCCTCGTTTCATTTACCCCCACCTCGCTTTCCGCCAACGTATGTTATATTCCTTTTTTTCTTCTTTTCCTAAGAATTGCTTTTTAATTTCCCGAATTTATTGCCAGCCCCTTTTGAAAGGCACATTTCTCTGAACTAATAGTAAAACAAAGTTTAATGTGATCAAAATTTTGAAAGTTTCGTTTATTTTGTAATGATAATGGTTTAATGCCATTCTTTGATGATTTACGTGTCATTACAGTCCGGATATGGAGTCTCTGATACATAAATATCAGAAGATGCTGCTGCTGCTCCTCAGCCTGATGCTATTCTGTACACTGTGCTCTATTGTACTTAACGTCTTCGACCTCAACAGGGTATCGTTTGTATGATATAAAGTATAAAATATAGCTTTTAGTACAACATAAAATTCTGAAGTAAAACATAAAGTGATGTAGTAGCTTCAAAATGTCATACTTATGTTATACTTATTATGGCGGTAAACTATCTGCTAAAGTTTCTTTTTACATATTAATTAGCGAATTTAATTGGTTGGCGTCACATCAATGCATTTGGTGATGCAATATATCTGTGCAAAATATTTTCATACAGTAAGCGCTCAAACTAATAACTGCGCTATAATGAATAAGAATAGTAATGATAAAAAATATTCATATTGTATTTCAGGGAAGATTATTGAACAGACGACTAGCAAAGAAAGTTGCCAAAGAAATGAAAAACTTCGTTGACGAAAAATCTCCACTTATGACTGATGCCCCGAGTATACAGAGCTATGTATCCATAGACGCAAGTGTTGGTGACATCACTCCGGGAATACAGTGATAAACCTGTAGTTAGTAATAATGAACTCACTCCGGGAATACAGAGATAAACCTGTTGTTTGTAATAACGAAATCACTCCTGGAATACAACGATAACCCTGTTTGTAATAATGAACTCACTCCGGGATTACAGTGATAAACCTATTGTTAGTAATAATTAACTCACTCCGGGAATACAATGATAAACCTGTTGTAAGTAATAATGAACTCATTCCGGGAATACAGTGATAAACCTGTTGTCAGTAATACATTTAATTAACTCACTCCGGGAATACAGTGATAACCCTGTTTGTAATAATGAACTCAATCCGGGATTACAGTGATAATCCTGTTGTCAGTAATACATTTAATGAACTCACTCCGGGAATACAGTGATAACCCTGTTTGTAATAATGAACTCACTCCGGGATTACAGTGATAAACCTGTTGTTAGTAATAATGAACTCACTCCGGGAATACAGTGATAGCCCTGTTGTTTGTAATAATGAACTCACTCCGGAAATACAGTGATATACCTGTTGTAAGTAATACATTTAATGAACTCACTCCGGGAAGACAGTGATAATCCTGTTGTCAGTAATAATGAACTCACTCCGGGAATACAGTGATAAACCTGTTGTTAGTTGTAATGAACTCACTCCGGGAATACAGTGATAACCCTGTTATTTGTAAAGATGAACTAACTCCGGGAATGCAGTGATAAACCTGTTGTTAGTAATAATGAACTCACTCCGGGAATACAGTGATAAACCTGTTGTTAGTAATAATGAACTCGCTCTAGGAATACAGTGATAGACCTGTTGTTAGTAATACGTGTAATGAACTCACTCCAGGAATACAGTGATAAACATGTTGTTAGTTATAATGAATTAACTCCGGGAATACAGAAACGTTGTTAATAATGATATTTTTCCGAGAATACAGAGATATACCTGTTGTTAGTAATTATGGTTTCACTCCGGGAATACAGTGATATACCTGTTGTTTGTAAAAGTGAACTCACTCCAGGAATACAGGGGTGGCCCTGGTGTCAGAAAAATGTCTCTGATACGACATAAATGCCAGTAATGAAGGACCTCAGCGTTGGACCGCATTTAAATAATGCATATACAAAAGTAACACTTAACTCTTTCCAGGAATACCGTGATTGAATTTGAACTGAGGTTGGACACACGTCTCTATTAGCCATTAATAATAAACTCACTTAATGAATACAGTGGTGACTTCGGCGATGGAAAGCAGTTAAATATCACATATACATTCATTCCGGGAATAACGTGATGCTCGTATCGTTGTGTTAGACAACGTTCTGTATACCACATATATTCGTCAGAACTGGTTCCAGTGTTATAATGGTAGTCCTAGTGTAAGGTTGCACAAAGACCTGTATATATATAGCCCATAGACGCCAATGGTTATTAACTCATTCCAGGAATATAGTGATGGCAATAGTGTTAACCAGTTACAATGAATTTATTTCAGGAAAAAGTGACAGTCCTAATTTTGAATATCATTACATATACCACATATGCGTCAGTAGTAATGAGCTCACTCAAGGATACCAGTTAATATATCACAATATGTATGAGGATTATTATATATAAACCATGGGTATGTCCTCCAACGATCTGAACGTAGAGATGTATATGATGGGCCAAATCCCAATTACACAGAAAGTTGAGGTTTTTCATATGTGCCATTCATTGATATATGTTTTTATATATATAAATACCAAAGATATTCTGTTTTATGATGACGTGTATTTTTTTGCTATATTGTTTTAAAAATAACGAACATTAATATAACAAGATTGTATTACCGTTATATACCTAGCTTGATTTGCTAGACTGGAAACTCCCCATGTAAAGTTTGTATAAAATGTGGTATGATATTATGCGCATGTTCAGATTGTAAGATGTTTAATTTTAATCAATTAAAATCAGTATTAAAAATACATCCCAATTTTATGATATTAATCATTTTTCTAGGGGCAATTTTCTCGAGAATACTAATATGTTTGATACAAGATTATACCAGCGCTGGAATGATTAATTGAGGGTTAAAACCATCAACATGGTATTTGTCAGTTGTCGTAAAACATCAGATATGTATGTATTAACAACTTTCTCGTAAACTATTTTCAAATTTATCATCATATTTATCATTTGCTAATTACAACATGAACGGATTTTATAAGAGTTGCATATATGCATTGTACTAGATTGAATGTTCTTTCCTCAAGTCAGTTAAGAAGAGAAAACACGATATCATGATATGATATTTACTAGTAAACAAAAGCTATGTATAGTAATGGTACATATACTGTGTTCATGTTTGTATCATTACATCTCAGTGTTCACATAATATTTAGCAGATTAAATTTTATGTCGAAAGCCTTTTTGTAGGGTGATGAGACAGATCACAGTACGTTACGATTACAGTAGGCCTATTTCAGACAGGTATTATTCAAACGTCATACATGATTTGCTTACTTTAATACATCAAAAAAGAGTTTAACCCAGTGGAAGATACATATACTGGAGTAGAGTTACTTATCAAGGTATTGCGTGTCTCTTACACATTGCTCGTGTTATCATCGTCATGTGATTACCAGCTTTGCAGATACCAGACCATGATAAACTCTGTCCTGTCTGTATTTGATATCTTGTTCTATCAACGGAGATATAAAATCTGGTTATTTGCCTGTTATAATCGCACACACATTTAGTGTCTGTGTTAGTATGACAATGTTTCTGCTCATACTATCGGTGATACTTGTAAACTATTTTCAGTTGGTGTGGGAGTACCCTTTATATCCTTGTTATGAGGTGGTTCAAACTGATGCAGAGTATGAATACATAATTTGAGCACTCTAGCTACAATTAAGTGACCACGCGCTCAGAAAATGAGAAATTAAGAAATTGTTTTCCATTTTCTTAAAATAAAAATAAAAACAAAACTATTAGATATGATAGCTTTCGTTTTTGTGTGGATAACAGCGCATACGTAATCTGTCCCTGTGCTTCTGTTCTATATATTGACCTTGCATCGTCGATAACAACTGGAACATGTTTTAGATATAAAACAATTTCAAAGGTACTTTCAAAATATCATATTTTCAAGTTCATTTTCATCTCTGAAGTAAAGTATTCGACAAATGTATCAAAATCACGTTTACGGTACGAAAAGAACGACTAACCCAATCCTGCTTCCACTTGTCTTAGAAGTGAAAACTTGTTCACAAATTACATGTATATCATACACGATTTAAAACATGGAACTAGTTTTTTAGTAAATGTTAAATGTGTTGATACCCAATCAAATGAAACTTAAAAGCGCGAAGTGAAAACAAACGCTAAACTCCAAGTCGATGGAACTAATGCAAAATGAGAAATCGAATTTATTTGCACGGAAACCCTGGAAAAAGTAGAAGAAATAAGAAGGGCAGACGTCTTCTGCTTCATCGACGACACCCGCCATTTAATTCTGGGTCATGATCAAATCCAAGTACTGCTACAACAAGGCACGCACAAATACATAAATATACATGTCATACAAGGTCCTTCGATTATGGTGATTGTAACAACGTGTTCATAGCCTTTATCAACCTGAATGAAAAGCTTGTGTTATAAAGTTATTTTGTCGGTTACGACGCGACATATTTCACCGAAATACTGATATTTGGAGCAAACCAATGAACATCAAATCAACTGTAACATGTTATCAACGAAGGTAAGGGGGCGGTGTTGTTATTATTAAGAAAGGGGCACGGGAGTTCACAATCGGAAGGACTGATTCGTCACGCTTATCAAACAGTTCAACATTAAGGCATCCGTGTTGGGTCATGGTTGAATAGTCCTTGATTTCCATCTTAGGAAATATTATACGTTCGACGTGGTCAATCATTTTCTTGTTATTTAAAGACAACATATCGTCGATTTATCTAAGAGTGAACTTTTAAGACCTTGAAGTGTCTTTATCATATCTATACTCGTTCTGATATGCACTTAAGTGAATCCAGTATGGAAAGATAAACAAATCGGCCATGAGAGGGCACAGTTTGTCCACATGAGGATGCCAACACTCTGCAGGAAGATATATCAATCTAGCTTAACAAAGGTAATGTCAACAAAGAATAATATAGACCTGTTTATTTAAACCTTAATTAGATAAAGAATTAAGCTATTGATATAACTAGATGTATATATAACTAACGGAAATCAAAACAAACATTGACACTACATCTACCAAGGGCATATCACAGATTGTAACGGTGGCCCATAATTTCGTTTTGAAATGGTTGTGGCATATTTTTCAGGCAGTATTAGGTACTTTTACATTTTGTAGACCACTAAATACATGGTTTTTATATATTCAGGGGAGATCACTCTCAGAATAACATATGGCGATAACGAATATCATCTAGACAACATAAGTACGCACAATATTGACAAACCACAGGCTGACCTTAAATACATAACAGCACAAGGTCGTGCGCTAGATATCAAATTTCTGTCTTTTCCTGGATATTCAGTTCATATGTGGTAAGTTATTTTCATGTTATCGTCCTTATAAAATAATTTTAATTACAAGCACATTTCAATGCTACATAGCAATAGGGTATTGTGGAGCTTACTTGTTTGTAACTGATTTGATATCGTTATCTCCATATGTGTTTGTGACTTAGCCTAGTGATATGTGTACCTTATAGTAATGGATGATAACGTAACAGTTTACTGATTATCAAGATCGTCCTCAATGCAGATTCCTATATATCGACAGTAACGTGAAAATAATAGCGTCAATAAATGAAGTTGACTCAATACTAGTCATCTCCAGAGATGCGTATGGTTAATGTCACTTAAGGTTTAATGCCTTTGCTTACTTGTTATTTACATATAGCTTCATCTCTTTTTGCCATTGGTAAGGAAATACATCATCATCGTTTGTATGACCTGGCAGAGCGTCGGTTGTCGCTGTTGTCCATAGTCCAACGTCTTGCATTTAAAAATCTAACAATCCAGACCAGGTGAAGGAATTCTAATTAAATTTTGAATGGATCATCCATTGACCAAAGCATTTCAATATTGTATAAAAATGTCATAGGGATAGATGGCTGGGGCTCAAAATGTATTCATCTTAAAAAGATTGCTCCTTAATTAGGATGAACATAGTTTGGAATTGACTTCTGATTTTGAGTATGTAGGTATATATTTGTTTACAAAATGTAGCTTGTTTGTAAACACTTTATCTTGACAGTATACTCATTCGTAAAAACTTAAAAAAACACCTATTATATTGTATTTCAAGTTTGTTTACAAAATATTGAAAATAACAAATAATTGTGTTTCAAACTCCTGTTCAGCAAGACTAAACAGTCAATCAAATGATAGGATAAGAAATACAACAGCATGAAATAATTGCCGAGGCCTTTTATTTTATCTTAAATAAAACAGTCATAGGTATTCGTGCCCCGGTTGCTCAAATGAAGGTTGGTCTTAACTGGTAGTTAGTGAAAATTTAAACATTGAATACAATAATACAATAAAATTAAAAAAATCTGATATCATTTCACTGCTATAGATTGGTTGAGACAAATAAGATTGATTTATTTTATGTTTTTTTTTTCGCTTTCAATGTCCTTGCATCCTATTGGCAACAATTTGAAATTTTCGCTAACAATCGATGCCAGATGACCACTTTGTGTTTTACCTGTAACGGTGACGCGTTAAACTGTACTCACTATCTGATATAATTGCGCAATATCACAAACTGTGTGTCTATTTCAGGCCAGTCTTTTAAAACCATGGATGTTACAGAGTGTAAGTATGTGTATTCCAGTACATCGTCACACCAAACAATCGATATCTAATATTATATATATCATATCGGAGAGCACTTTTACATGCGTGTTATTGTTTTACATTAATCAATTAATTGGCTCTTTGGCGTATTTCTACACGTCTCATATACACTGCAGAACGAAGACGAATGTCATAACGTTGGTTTTCTTTCTTTTCAGTGTCAGGATTTTATAGATATATGTAATCTGTTGATGATTATGTGTTAGTCACTTTGGTTACTAAATGAGAGGTTTTTAAAATTTTATGTTACATAATTTTTATGGTTGTCTTGACCTGATCTACCCCCACGTCATGTCAGTTTGACTTAAACCTAAATTTTAGAATACGAAATTTAGCGAAGTTTTTTAAAAAAAAACTGAAGAGTCATTTCTGATGAGATTTACTAGATTCCTTTTCTATTTTCCCTCATATAGGGAAGACACGATATGTGTTGCTTGTCTTTGCCTGCTTCCTTCCTTTTGGTTGTTACTTCAATATTGATGTCCCGGGTGCATTGCAGAAGGACTTACAGGGGGTTCACGTAAGCTACATCTTAATTAAGGCATTTAAATAATATAATTAGAAACGTATTAGTCTTTTGAGCGGCTCATATGTGTTCCACTGCTAAATAATGGTATGTGCTATTACTTTGTATTGTCCAACTTCAAAGAAACGGTAATTTTCAACAAGTGTACGTTTTCCCATATTATAAACGTTCACGTAGTGATAAACCAGTATCTAAATCATTAATACTTTACAATAAGCACAACAAAATATGTTTTGTCTGCACGTCTGTAACATACCATCTAACTGATAGTAAATTTTCATATATATTTCGTAACCTGACAGACCAAAAACTGTACAAACCTTACGACCAACACGACCAACACGACGTGCTGTAGTGATTGTCTGGGACTGGGACCAGACCGTTACAACCAGCTGTACGCGGCCTACTCCTGGATGTACGTAAATCCATCTTAACTCCGAAGCAAAAATACGTTTCTAATACAGCTATATCATTATGTAAAGGCCGATAATGGTTTGAAATCAATAGGGACAATTCATAATAACTGATGCCGAACAATTACGTTAGTCCTCTAAAACATATGTGATAATCATTTTTCAGGAATGCCGTTAATGCCTTACCTGGAGGATATTTCATCGACAGAATTGGAAACAGAGGTCAGTACAATTACAACAGTTCAGATATTACAAAAAAGACATTTTTTTTGTATTCCAATTCAAATAGATGGTTTATTATTTTAAATCAAATCGTGTCTTTTTTCAGGTTCGGCAATCCTGACGACAATGGTCGCATCTGTAGGATCGGTTTTATTTGCTGTATCTGTCACTGACTCGATTAGGGGTACATCTGTTATGTTCCCACTCATGTTTTGTGGCCGTCTACTCCTTGGAGCAGGAACTGGCCCAGCTCTCAGTAAGTTATGGTGGCAATAATAAGATTAGCTCTCAGTACCACTGCAGAGATGGTGGGGTCAGCTCTCAGTAAGTTCTGGTTGCAAGAATTAAATAAGCTTTCAGTACTTTTAATTAGAGGGGGTGGAGCCAGATTTCAGTAAGTTTTGATGGCAGGAACAAGACCAACTCTCAGTACTACTGTAGAGAGGACAGGGTCAGCTCTCAGTTTATTCTAGTGGCGGGGATAAAACTAGCTCTCTGTACATTCCTTAGGAGTAAATAGCCAGCCCTCAGTACTAGACCAACTCTCACTACGTTCTGATAGATGGAACAAGACTTACTCTCATTGAGGTATCAGCTCTCAGCATGTTTCTTTAAAAGGAAGGGACCAGTTCTGTTATCGGGAACAAGACCAACTCTAAGTATATTTTATCTTAGTGATCTTAGTGCGTTTCTTTAGAAGGGAGGGACCATCACTAGCGGGAACAATACCAACTCTCAGTAAGTTCTCTTTAAAAGGGAGGGACCACCTCTGAGTGTCTACCTTTAGAAGGGAGGGACAATCACTAAGCGTGTTTTGTTATCGTGAAAAAAATAATTCTCGGTAAAGCATTTAAAATGGAGGGATCATATCTCAGTATTTTCTATAGGGGAGACACAAGCTCTCAGTACGTTCTGGTGGCCGAAACAATACCAGCTCCTCCAGTCTTCACTTATGATGGCATTTATATGCTTACATTGCGTCGACAATTTAGTAATATATTGGGCTTCTTAATCTGAAATACATCAAACTTCGTCTGAAAGGGATTATTGTTTGGATGAAAAATGGTTAACAATTAATAATTTTGTTTTTGCGTATGTACTATTTGTAAAGAATGCATGGGTTTCCTTCCACACCAATTTCATTCTGTTTTAGTTGTACAGAATAGAATGCTAGCTTCCTGGTTTCCAGACAACATACTGTTAGTCTTTAGCTTGATGGTTGTAGTTCTACGACTCGGTAATGTTTCAAATTTTTTCCTCACTGCCAACATCGCCAACTGGATCGGCCTGTCAACAACACTCTGGATAGGTATGGATGGTTTACCATGTATAACAAACTTGGTTATGATAAATCACTGTCGTGTTTGAGAAACTACATTAAATTCTTTGGTTTGTGATAAAAACAGTCTGTGAAAAGATGGCTTAGAAACATGTTTTAAAAGTTGAACATAAGTAAATATATGGCAGTACTTATTATCTTTGTGAACTCACTTATAATCAACATATTTGCATGTGATCAAACGTAAAAAAAACTGTGAATAGGATTTCAACTAGATTACGTTTTATTACCAAACATTAGATTGGTGTTTTTGACTATTTCTAAACCTCTTATTTTCACCTAGCTGCAGCTATATGCTGTATAAGTATAGTGTGTGCAGTAGTAGTGTCATTATTGGATTACTATGGACAGTCTCGGGTGAAAGTCGAAATGAAAGTAGCCCAGAGATCCAACTTTGTAGTGAGTATATCTCCCAGTGATATGATAAGCTCGCCAGAGGCTCCCTAATACAAAAATGTCTTCGACTCGTTCCATAAACCTCATATGACATGGAAACTAGTGTAAGATCCTATATATATATTATAATGATTTTGTTTTTCATTATTAGCATAATTACATTTACAATTTACAACTATAATAGTAAAATGGTATATAATTTTTTTTTTACAAAATTGAAAACGATAAGCAAATCCACTTAATTTGTTTATGAAAATATAATAAAAATGGAAAACTAGATAAGAATACAATTTTCTTATTAATGTCTTACATTACTTTTCTACGTTAAAATATAAATGCACTAGTATTTAATTAAATAAAGCACCTGTAAGTCTGTTAGAGCATGTTTATCTCCATCTGTATCAGGTAACTGTTGTTTATTTTCTGTACTAAACTCGCCGACTTCTCCCCATTATTCCCGTTTTGACATGTATCATATCAATATAATTCTAACGTATGTAACTATACCTTTTAATCATTTCAGACGCTCAGGGAAATCCGATTACTTCCTAAAACATTCTGGCTTTACTCTGTCGTGATTATGTCTTTCTACGCCTGTTATCTCCCTTTAATTGGAAACGGTAGGTATGTCATACACTATAACATTCCCAGTTTCAAAATATGTTTTCAAAGTTGAAGAAATTTGATGAGTTAACTAAGAACAGTACATAAAATGTTTCCACTCTATTGTTATCGTATATGAAAGCAGATTCAAAACACAAAGAATACGTATTTCCGCTATACTGTAATATTCAAAACTTCGTACAATAAGATACAAGATACAAAACACTTTATTTAATGTCGCATATATCAAACAGAAAAACATTAGTGCTATTTTTGCGACAAACACGATAAAAAACAATCGGAAAACAACAAACAATCTATACACTATCACAGAAAGCTAGCACATAATCAGCGAGTAAAACATACAATAGCATAGCAGCATATAATTAGATATCACAGGCACTAATTGTAAAGTACTTTACTAAAAATGATGTAATGAGATAATAGTGAACACCTGCATATCACACATTTGTTGCTATATAATAGGTGGGTTAAAGCACTACAAGTGTAATTTACAAACATGCTAATATAGCAAAAGGGTAAAAATTGACATAATATACACTAATATGGTGTAAATTAATATAAGACGACAAGGTCTAGTAAGTAAAAACATATAGAGCTATAACGATGATTAGACGAGAGGGCTAGAAACTATGCTGCCAGTTATTGGTATATAAAAGCGCCATGCAAGGCAGGAGTTAAGCTTAATAGATAGGTAAATAAGTAGATAAATAAATGAATAAATAAATAAAGCAGGTAACTAGTAATAAATACTAAAACACTGAAAAAACATTAAAACTCCAAACACAAGTAAAGATACGACATGAGCAAACAGACCCATCCCGGGAGTGCATCAGTCTGGCAAACTCTGGATAACTATCCAACTTCCTCAAATGGTTTGACAGACTGTTCCACACCCGGGCGGCCTCGTAGCGAAAAGACTTCCGTCCATACCCGTAGTGGTTGTTCTTGCTCTTGGTAGCTCCAGCTGCCTTTCATTCCTGGGGTAGAAAGGCAAGTAATTTCATTATACAATACAGTGTTACATGTGTTCTATACTTTTCCTAACTTGCGAAGCTGATTAACTCTTGTCTTTCCCAGTAAATACATACAAGATCGGTACGGATATTCCAAAACGACGGCGTCCTATTACAACGGAGCTGTGTATGACGTATCTGTCCTCATATCGCCAGTAATGGGGGTAATTTTGGTAAGTGATGTTCTATGTATACAACAATCGATGGGGTGGGTGTGCTTTGGTGAGTGATGTTCTGTATTTGTGATCAGTAGTGTAAGTCATTTAGGTGAATTACTTCCGACCACAAGTTGCGACCATTCTGTTTAGTGATGTTCTATAATCAATTCCATTCAACAGTAATCTTCTTTTTTTTGAAAATAAGTAAATTATGTTTTGATTGTATTTGACAGAGGAGGCTTAACATCACTGGAATCGTGATGTCGTGTTGTGCTGTGCTGACTGTTCCAGTGTTCCCTCTGTTTTCCTTTTGTCCCGAGATACATCCACTTATTTTGACCATATATCTGGGAACCACGTACACCGTGTTTGCTGTAACTATAATTACTAAAGTTTTCAAAAGTAGAATCATAGCATATATTTAACTTACTCACTACAGGTTGGTAATCAATTTGCTGTTAATCTGTTGGTAAATCAAAATATTATTTTCAAATATTGTTCTTTGATATTTTTGCAACAAGATGAATGAAACCCGGTTAATCATGTGAACTTAATTCAACTCTCATATAAAGATTCTATTCCATTTATCATCAGATATGTCTTTGGCCGTCGGTATCCGTTCTCGTGTCGCCGGAGGTGTTTGGCACTGCTCAGGGGATCACGATCTGTATGCAGGGATTGGCGGTAGGACTGACCAACCTTGGGATAGGGAAGATCCTCGGGGTCACAGAAAGGTACGAATCGAAAACAACGACCTAACCTTTACTGTATTTCGTCTTTCAGACGCTTTAGTTTCATGCAAAATGCATCAATACCTTTAAAAATATACTATGTGGGGTTTTTTGGTATCAAAATGGGGTTAAGTCCTATACCTGTCATATTCTAACGGTGTAAAGTACTATACCTGTCATATTCTAACAATGTAAAGTCCTATACCTGTCATATTATAACGGTGTAAAGTCCTATACCGGTCACATTATAACGGTGTAAAGTACTATACCTGTCATATTATAACGGTGTAAAGTACTATACCTGTCATATCATAACGGTGTAAAGTACTATACCTGTCATATCATAACGGTGTAGTGATCACGTTCTTCATATCATAAAGATTTAAAATTACTTTACTTGTATGACTATTCCTTTTTCCCGTTGTACTTTTCACCATCCTTGGTACCAGTCTAGACAAGACTGAACGACTAGCTAACTACCGCCTGATGTTCTGGGTCCTGCTAGGTCTGTGTGTCATATCGGCAGTGTGCAGTATTCTTGTCAATATACTGGATATGAAGCAGGTAAATGGTTCACTGAAACAGCTGAAAGTAGTGTGTCAAGATGACATACATAAGTGTCCGTGTCTCATCAAGGCGAAAAGTGTTATATCAGATATGATATAATTTTCTTGGATATTGCCCCGATATGTCAACTTTCAAACACATCAAAAATATAAACCGATATAATTAACGAGGTTCGACGGTAGTTTGGAAATCTTTTACCATGTCCCCCAAATTCATTAATGTTTTTATAATTAGTTCTGAATAAAATCCCATGAAATAATTAAAACACGGCTATAATATTGTTAAAACTGTTCTGAATAATCGCAGTTAATTGAAGACAATTAAAGTAGTTCATGATTGCGGGTCCTATTTTCCCCCGATGATGTTTGAAGACTCGACCAATGGTATTTGAGTTTTCGATATACATATAAATACAAATAAAATATATATCAAATCGAAGATTATTTACTCCTGCTGAGAGTCGTTTCTTTGTTTTTATTTTTTAGGAAAACTTGCTGAATCCGGGACTATCACGCCTCGTAAAGAAAGAACTTTATCCTGGTATAAATGAACGGACTTCACTTATCCAACACTCGGTCTCGGACTCGATGAACGTAGCTAGTACTGACTCAAATACCCATATTTCTATCAAATCTCACAGTTACGAGTCACCACCCTGACCGATTGACAATGTAGTTTTATTAAGCGTCTTAACATTGATATCATGGCTATATATCACGTGTCCCCGGCCCATGCCCATGGAGTTACAGACCATACATATGACGTTAGAGCGCCATTTTATAAGCATGATGTACATATTTGTGTTACTAGAGATATATTCAGTTGTAATCTGTCAGTATAAAATACATGTTTCATTTAAAAAAAAAACGACATTCTGGTGCAAAATGACCAAACATGTGTAAGAAATAGACACAGATACATCCTCGATACCCCAGGGGTTACGCTAACTTACGCTCTCTGCACCCCTGAAATACGCCATAGCGAAATTGAAGATTCAGTTTATGCCACCTTGTTGATGAGACGAGAAGACTTGTTCGATCCTTTCACGTAAATCAAAATAATCTCGCGGTCGCGTAACAGTAAAATATGACTGGTTTTGAAGTCGAGTGTCTCTCCTCTGTAATTGTCAAAGGATAGGTGTCACCCTAGATTTTGGTCAGTTTTTTTAACCGAGACCAATCAAACAGCTATCTTTGTGCAATCAATTTTGCTATGGCGTATGTCAGGGGTGCAGAGAGCGTAAGTTAGCGTAACCCCTGGAGTATCCAGGATGACAAAAATGAAAGTGTTTACTGTAAGCATATGCAACATTTGTAATACAAAATGACGCTGTCATATTCAAATATACATAGGGCCTCTGTAATAGAATTGTTATCATTTCAGCATGCCTCACGTAAGCATTAGTTGAATAACACTATGCTCATATACTGGTCAATAGACACTGCAACGTATGCGAATATGATGCGAAGATTACATAACTCTACAGGGTAGATTTAGTGTGAGGGCCTTTCCATACATATTGCTCATCCAATTGTATAATATCAGTTAGGAGTATATAAGCATTTCTTAGGTTAGAGAAAAAATCTTCAATGGACACATTTATGAAACCAGGAACAGTTACACAAATATCTACTTTATTCGACTTTTTTCATTAAACATGTCAAAGTCGACAGACCAGACAAATATGTCGACTAACATTCTTTTAACAAATTCATTCATAATATGTTTATGTTCCTATCGATATTATAGGTATAGCCGAGACAGAAAGGAAAATAAAAGAATAAGAAACAATAAATGCATCGAGTATGTTGTCAATTAGGTTAAAATAGCGGCGAAAAACGTTTTGAAATAAATTGTAGAATATAAGACTCTTCTAAGCTCAGAGGTGAAGGATAGGATAATTCTGCTCAAAGAGGTTTTTTAAAATTGCAGCACCACTGGACACGAAAGAGTATTTGTCTCTCCTTGCAATCACCAAAATTATCTCAGATACCCTCAACAGGTGCTGCAGTTTCTGCATTTAAGTTCCCGATTTCGCAACGTCAACCTTTGTAACGTCACGCACGTGAAATGGGGATGTAAGATAGAAATTTCTTAAAATCTTTCTTATCCTGAAAAGTTATGTGACTTAACCAAGGCGAACGAATTGACATGTATTGTTCTGTTACACAATTCACCTCATTCTTGTAATCACTTTTCAACTTCATCCAGAAAAACATAACTTCTTACTCGATCGATGGAGAGAGCAGTATAAAGTGATATCAACAAGGCTTTTTTTTCACAGAAAGCTAACAAAAACATAATTTTAAGGAACGGTGGTCAAAAGAGGATTGAGCAAAAACAGAAACCGAACATGTTTCTAAAAAAATCTTCGGTTTGGTAAGTATGGATTATGAAGATTCATGTAGCACAACCAAAAAGTGTTTCTATGTGACGTTTCGATGACTAGAACGGTATGTACTCGGACACCTTCATCAGACAAATGACCAGTGAAACGTATGTACACGACATTCGTCATGGACACCGACGATTATGAGACTAAGGTCATGACAACGCTAAAGGACAACAAACATATGAACAGCTGCAGACCAATCCAACTCAAAAGTGTAAAAGGCGTCTCATAGCCATCCTGTCAAAATTAAAACAAGAGAGCAAGACTACCGAAAGCCAACACATATATATGTATCCCATGGCAGAGAAAGCGTCTAGAATGTACTGTTCACCCAAGATCCACAAACAGGGAAACCCACTGAGGCATATCGTGGACTACACTGGATCCATTGGTTATAATGTTTACAGGTCATTAGCGGACATTCTTGGACCGTCAGTGGGTAAATCCATTTAGCGGGAGTTATGTCTACGATCATAATTCAGGAAGACGAAGAATTTATTTCACATGATGTTGTCTCTCTCTTTACCAACACATCCATTGACGATGCCCTTGGAATCATTCGGAAACGCTTAGAATTAGACAGATCGTTGCGTAAGAACGCAAACCTCCACATTCAGGACATCATGTATTTGCTCGAATTTGTGCGGACAACAACATATTTTAGTTTCCGAGACAACATCTATCAGCAACGCGTTGACACTGCTATGGTTAATCCAAAGTCTCCCATTGTGGCCAATTTGTTCATGCAGCATCTGAAGCAATAATCAATAGCCACTGCCCCTTTATGGAAACGATATATTGACGACATACTTGAGATAATCAATAAGGGGTCACAGAAGGATTTGACCACCCATATCAACACCATAGATGCCACTAACAACATCACATTTACATGTGAGAAAGAAACCAACGGCACCATGTCCTTCCTAGACTCTCTACTGGTAAAGAAAGAAGACGGAATCGTGAAGGTATTGGTCTATAGAAAAAATACTCATACGGACCAATACCTGAACTTCAAATCTCACCATCCTTTGCACCAGGAGTGAGGCGTCGTATGCACATTACTCAACAGATGTCACAGAACAACAGGACAAAATACAAGAGCAGAGTCACATCGCTAGGGGCAATGAAAACCTGTGCATATCCGGGATGGGCACTAAAACGGGTACAAAACAGTGTCGAAGTAAGGAGAACAAGAAAAGGCCAATCAAGGATAAGTAAAAAACCAAAGGTCAAGTGGTCATCCCGTATATAAAGGGTATATCCGAAACCATCCAGAGGATGTATCACGGTCATGGCAATGCAACAGCCATGAAGCCCCACAAGCCGCTTAGTAATATCCTAGTACAAACGTCGCAGATTGTGTATACAAAATCGGATGTAAAAACTGTGACACATCGTATATTGGAGAGACTGGAAGGCGATTTGGGGTCCGCCTTGGTGAACATAGAAAAGATACAGAAACTCAAGAGGGAAAGAAATTGACCAAGTCAGAGTCTCGGATCAATACATCGGCAATCGCAGACCATGCCACACAGAAAAATCATGTGCTTGACTGGGATAACTCCAAGGTACAATGAACAGGACAGAGAGAGCAATATGGTCAAGCACAGTATAAAGGAAGCCATCTGGATACGCCCCAGTGGACCAGTTCTAAATCGAGATGAGGGGGCTCATAGACTCTCGCACATCTATGACCAAGTATTAAATAAAGCGTAGCTGAATCGAGTCATTTCGGTACATATATAACAACTAATTGTACATATGCTTACAGAGTAGCCGAATCGACATCGATTTGTGGACAACTCACATATTTTACAACTTTGTGTACATGCATTTCACTGGTCATTTGTCTGATGAAGGTGTCGGAGAACATAACGTACTAATCATCGAAACGTCACATAGAAACACATTTTGGTTGTGCTACATGAATCGTTTCAGAAACCAAACAGATATGAAGAAAAATACCGATGACATAATAATATTATATGTTTATTGTGCTGAAAAAGGTGTTTCTTTTCTCATACTTTACATACAAAATATAATGGTATACTACAACAATTCCTTTCCCTTGCTTTACACACAATATATATCATGGTTATTAAAGTAATACCACATATATTAGCAAGGTGGCTTACAAATATGTAACAAACTGTAATAATAACATATATGAACGAACAGTGAATTAAAACATGTTTCTTTATAATTATTTGTTGCAAAATTCAAATGACAAAGTCTGGTTCCCACTAATTTTCAGGCATTAGCATTTTAGTTCAAAGTTAAAAACCAACGACTTTTTCAAATGAAACGATACTGTCAAAATAATTATGAAATCACATAAGATTTTACTTAACATGAACTCAAAATATCTTCAACATGATTTTAACAAAACGCAAACATTTACACAAGTGTGACAGAGGAAGATGGAAATGTGTGGTATACTTGTATGGCAAGAAAGGAAATGATTTTGAATCCAATATACTAGTACTTCACATTTCACAAGTAAATTATTTCCTCTGAATTTCAGAAGCCTAAGCAGACAAGACAGCAGTCTAAAAGTTTTGAGCTCTCAGAGTATGGGTATATCATTACATAGTTAATTTTCATTTTATACATACAATGTGTAAATGATTTTAATTAATGGTCATAATCATTAAGCATCAAACAATTTACATTAAAATATATGCACAAGGAACCTTACATACATATAAAAACGATGCATTTAACAAATACTTTTTAAAAAATGCATCAGAATAACTACAACATTCACTGCTTTAACTTCAAAGGGAATGTTGCGGCGACATTTTCTTCAAACTTTTAAACAATAAATGATAACTTTAATTAAAAAAACGTTCATAAGTGAATCAATATACAAAACAAAAAACGTCTTTTTTTTAACAATAATTCTGGCTTATTGTTCGCTAACCAACATATTGTCATAATCAATGATGTTGTTATATTCCTAATTGTGAAATAATTTACCAGGTAGACCTGATAACACATATAACAACTTAGCAATAAGCCTTTTAAAAGATATGCTGATTGTAATATTGACTATCATTATGTGGCTTAAGTTTTGCTTCCCTGTGATTGGCTGAAAACTCATGCTGTGGTATTGACAAATTATGGTGATTGTTGAAAACCTGCTAAAGAGATAAATATCACATTCCTGTCACCTCTCATGAGGTTAATGTACTGTATAGTTACAGGATATTTCCATCATATAATATATATTTTTGACAGAAACATCTGTTAGAGTTTTTTGGGATTATTTAAGAGAAAAAGCCTTGATAGAGACTCGAAAAAATTAAGTACTGCAATCTTCAAAGGATATGCACTGGTATGCAGAGTTGTTCACAGAATTATAGCCTTCCAACGACAAGCTTAGGTATTTTGTTCTTGTTTCATGAATAAATAAATTGCTATTTGTTCAAATAATGCTTGTTGTGCAATATATTACAATAAGAAATTGTCAACCTCAGAAAGGTGAAACTTTTCTGAAGTCAAAGGCTACTGTCACATATAGACAACTAAAATCAAAATAATACTGAAAAGAATCATAATCTATGTATCAAATAAATTATAATTCCTAAATACGAACAACAACAAAAATCATCCATAATAACAAAGATTTGATAAGGTTATGAAATGGACGGAAAATAATAAATAATAAGTATCACAAAATTGTTCTTGTAATAAAGTAGAGTGAACTTCTGTGAACTTTTTCTACATCACAATATATCTTATATCTTACAAAAACATATTCTATACATAAATGTCTTTTTTTATCACTTTGCTGCAGTTTTATGCTTGCTTTGATTCTAAATACAGAACCAGTATCATAATAAAATTACACAGGTTTTTTTCATATAGTAGATTCAGAATAACAGCAAAGAATTTTCAATGAAAAAATTGTAGTGTTACGAACTACATTTGGTGAAAATTTAACTTCAAGAAGAAACAAAATTCACAAACACATTTTATATACACTATATAATCTGTACTATACTGTATACACCATAATCTGTATCAGAAAAAGAAACAAATTCAAATGTACCTGGTAATAAAATGGAATGTTAGTTCTCGGAGACAAAAGTTAATGAACAAGGAGTTCCTTGTTGTACCATCTTAGTTTCACTTCATGATATCTCTGAACTTGACTTGGTTTCATGGTACAATTAGAAGCTCTCCTGAATCAATGTGCCATGTAAGATAACAGGGACATTCCCAAAGAAGGCTATCACTGCCGCGAAGCAGATAAAAACATTCCAACACAACCACAATCACAGATTGGTATCAATGTATCAGGACCTCTCTGTTGCTGCTTTTCTGTTTTCTGCCTCAATAAGTCTCTCCAGTTCTGCTGATTTTTTCTTGTCTATCATTTCCATTTCTCTTATAAGCTTTAAAAAAACACAAGAAAATGTATGTATCTATAATATATTAATTACAGTAAAACAGGACATATTGCAATAAGTAATTGATTACTGAATTACGCTTTTACTTCATTACATCTTTTGTCCGTTATGAATTTCACAGTGTATGACTGTAATGGAACATTCTGACATTTTAATAGACATAGTATTATCAGGGGTACTCATTATTGCAATGTGATACTGCAGTATCCTCCTCAGACAAATTCATTATCTCCCAGGGAAATACTTTACTTGTCAAAAGAGAAACGAAAGGTCCACAAGGCCTGTCTTGTTTGGTCACCTGTTTCTATTTGTAATATGAACAGGTCAATAACATGAAAATGGCCATCTAAGATTTGTTATTCACCTGACCAATAACCATAACAGCATGTGGTAAGAGTAATAAGAAAAACATCTCTCCCAATTTGAACTTGAAAATTACTTCCAAAACATTAATCAATTCTTACCTGTGATACTTCTGTCGATATGATTGTCCTAAACTGAGCGCCTTTACCCAAACCTTCCATTTCCCTAAGGAAAGACTGTCTTTCTTCTATCTCACTTTGTACTGTAACATATAATTTCCTTATTACACCAAATATACATTTCCAAAATATAGGCAATCATAATAACCAGTTACCACATTAAATGTGTATAACTTGTTCATTTTATAGTTATTCCATATAAAATTTCAGTGTTCTGCTGTAAATTTATGAACACTATATAAATTATCATGGTATAGTAGAAGTATTTTTATCATAAAATGGTATACAACGAAACCTAACTGCAGGACTTAAATGAAATCTCACAGATGAATATACATGACATCAATAATGACCAGTACAGTACTCATGAAGTTACTGTGGCTTGCATAAATCTTTAATACAAGAACTACATCAGTTTGATACAGACTGACAACAGATTGAAAACTCACATTCATCAAACCTGTCAACTGCTGGAGCGGGCTCAGGAGCTTTTCTCTGTTTCCGTTTATCACGAGGAGGGATATCTTGACCAAACTCCATAATATTAGCTAGTCTTGCCTTCTCCTTTTCTTTTGAAACACCTCCTGTATAAATATAGTTGTATCCCATTGTATTGACAAATAAGACAGAAAAATGGTAGAATAGCCAATAAAGATTTCTTTTTTCATAACCGTGTGAAGAATTCCACCGGCCAAATGTCTCATGCCAGTAGACTTCTAGTGGTTTTTTTTTTAAATATTTATTGGTGCTAAAAAAATATCCAGTGTTCTCCCCAGGCTGTTTTTGCAGCATGGCACCATGCTCCTATAATTTCTTGCCATGCTGCTATCCTAGATCTTCTCTGTTGACCTTTGTATCAGGGTTTTGACAAGTGCATACTTTAATTTATCCCATGATTTTTAAACAATTCCAAAACATCATTACAAGAATTCAGGATTGCTTGTTATTTTCTAGTTCACGCCCACAGGCACATTCTGAAAAATTCAACTTGCCTGACCGATATCAGTGTTCTCCCTAGAATGTTTTAAGTCCTACACTTACTGGTATTATGTGCTGGTGTGTAGTCTGGTTTTTCAAAGGCTCCCATGTTTTCCATCTGTTGTTTTGTTCTAATAGTTGTTTTGTAATTCCTGTGATAACAAAAGTATTCCGACTATTACAATATAAATAAAAATCAAGAGCAACAGTCAGTGATCCAGCTAGGATTTTGGAAAGGCAAGAACTGGCCCAAAAGGCATGTTTTAATTGTGATCAGTATTGTAATCACTATGTCATGATTTCATCACTGTATCATGATTCCTTAACTATATTCTTGTATTCAAAATCCGAAATTAGCTTACCATTTTCTGGTTGCGATTTAGACAATACAGGCAGGATATGTAAGTTCATTCTTAAGTTCATACAACATCATAGCGTATATTGAGGGTACATTTATAGATAGTTATATTTCAAATATCTTCACCAATGAAGAATTAAATCATACTGTAGACAGCAAGCAGAAGGTTATTACTTCCAACTTTCATTTTGTATGTTGACATATATCTAGAATAGATTAATTCTTTACCATATTAAAAACACCTCAAACATTATAGAAAAGAAACATTCATGCAGAGCTTCTAAAGAATACTGATACAGAAAAAAGGGGATATGATATATAATGCTTACAGCAATGATATAGAACTACTCCATGATTCATGTAACTTTTTTCAAATCACACTAAACCTAAAATTAAAACAAACCACAGGTCAGACATAATTGATGTACACATAAGCCATACCTTGGATTGAGCACCTTGCTGACAGCTGGAGCAGAGACTGGTGTCTTTTTCCGCTGTGCGCTGTGTGTTGGGGGACAATTGGATGGCAGGGAGCCCCCACCTGTAAATAAATCATTAAACATATATGTTAGTTTAAGTATGTACAGTAAACATGTTTGTAATGAATTGAACCTCAGGGATTATTAGAAATTCCTGTACATGAAAGTATAATTAAATAAAGAGTGCGATGAGCAGATCAAATTCCTTACAGGATATATTAAGGATGAATCATCAGTAAGAACGAACAATATGTGTGTTATTAGTAACTGTATTTATTACTCCTATTCCGTCTTTGCATATTGCAGAGTTATCTTCTCTTGTGAGCAGGTAAACCTATTGATTGTTACGTCAATTGTTTGTGAGAGTAACGTCATCAATTTTTGAGAAAACGGCGTAATTTTCACACACAAACCAATGACGTAACAATCAATACCTGCTGAGAAGAGAAGATTACTCTGCAATACGCAAAGACGGAATATATCAAGATTCAAGATTTCAAGAAGCTTTATTTAACGTCGCATATACATGTAACATAATAACATTAGCACTGTAGTGCTATTCTTGCGACAAAACATATATAAAATTTAACAAGGATCACAGTACTTATAAATAACTATAAAATCAGGACAACAATTCAAATTAGATATGCTAAAATTATACAGTAGAGCATATGATATCACACTTGTATGTCACACAAGTGTTATGAAAGACAAGTTAAGACACTATACTACTGTAATGTACATATATGCTAATGTAGCAATGTGTAAAAATTTACAGGATATACACTTAATATAGTGTGAATTAAAAAGAGACAATGAAGTCATAAATAGAAACAAGAGCTATAATTATGATATTAAAAGTAATGATCTTTTAAATAATGGAGCTCAAATCTAAAATAAATATCAATTATATAATAAGTATATTCCTGAAGTACATTAAATTAAATAACACAAGCAGCAGTGAAATTAAATTAAATAGTTGTTATATAAAACATGTAGGTAGATTCCAAAGGGGGACAACTCACACTATATGGTGTGTGCAGATAGCACATGAGCAGACATTTTTGTTCCAGGTGTGGAGCAGCCCACGAAACGACTTAGTTTTCAGCTAATCGAAGTTCATTTGGTAGGCTGTTCCACACCTGGGAAGCAGCAAATCGGAAAGATCTCTTACCATTTGTGGAGGTGTTCACCTTTGGAATCTTTACCAGGTTATCTTGTCTCAGATTGTAAAAAACTTCTTTCCTCTCAACAAGATTAATGTTGTAATATGCAGCATCATTGTCTTAAAATTTAGATTCTCCTTTGTTTTTGAAGTCATATAGACCTATGACTCTAAGTTGTCAGCCCTATGGGTAGATGCGTATAGAAAACACTCTGTAGTGATTTAAGTTAACATTAGCTAGCTGTACCTAGTTATAGCTTCTACAGAGAATGTTTACTTCAATAGTGGCTGGTAAAAAGGTTGAATGGTGTATAGAAATTTATACATACCTCTCAATGTTTTCTCAAGATGTCGTTGTTGAAAATTTGTGAGTTTTGATTCTTTCATCATATCTAAAAACAAAGAAACAACATCAGGGGTTGAAATGTTTGGTTCTGTTTTTTCATGCATCAATATTTATGAAACTTGTCACAAATCGGAATCACCAACAACAACACATTCTTGAACTTGTTGCATAGATGTCATAAGAAAAGACTGAACCATGAAGGTATTGGTCTATAGAAAAAAGATCCATACGGACCAATACCTGAACTTCAAATCTCACCATCCTTTGCACCAGAAGTTAGGCGTCGTACGCACATTGCTCTACAGATGTGATACAATAGTCACAGAACAACAGGACAAAACACAAGAGTAGAGTCAAATGGCTAGGGCAATGAGAACATGTGCATATCCGGAATGGGCCCTAAAATGGGTACAACAACAGTGTCAAAGTTCTGATACCTACAGTACAGGCGGTAAATTGTATAAGACTTATTTCTCATTCCTTCCATTGGAAAATCTGCCATTGACATTAATTAACCGATACTGAAAGATGATGTTCGATGTGACGAAAAACTTTTCAATGACAGATGTGTAGCATAGTTATCAGTTCAAAATAAGTGTTCAGTCTTCAAATGAATAGTTGGGACATTTCTCAGCTCATCTGCCATAAATTGCCTATGTCAATATTTATCCATCAGGGTGAAAATAAAAGTGTTTGTCTTCAAAAAAAAAAGGTAAAAAAATAGACAAAATTTGTTTAATTCCTTTGCTCACTCTTCGTTTGCATTATATCGACTAAGCCTGTACTAGTCTATAACTTGACTTTGATGTTCTTTAGTTCAAACGACTATAACTTGACTTTGATGTTCTTTGGTTCAAACGACTGTCTATATAATTTGATCATATATCTATAGTCCATATCATTATTATTTTTATTATTTTGAACACCGAATGACTACAGTACTATACCTAAGTAACAATAGTATACCAAAGACTGACCTGACCGTATCTTAAATATGACATCATATGTATATGTCTGTCTTGGTTGTTGTCTTTTTTGAGTATATGATAGCTAGGGTATAGTTGATGTTAACGATAATTGTCATTTATGTCGATATACATTTCAATCTAGTATTTTACCACAGGGGTTCGACGTTTGAATAATTAGTTTTAGATCAGCACAAGTTTGGCGTTACTACAATAGTTATCCATAGATCAAACTCCAGTGGAATACGCCCACAAAGTCTGATACATGTTTTTGGATTAATAAAAAAGAACCAACCTTTCAACAAATCATGAGTTTGTTTGCTATATTGAGCTTGTGGTTGGCTCCAGAAGCCACCTCCTGCCACTCGAGATTGTACACCATCCGCCATTTTGAAACAATTTGGCAACTATGGACGTAATTTCCGGTACTGCGGTGCGTTCGAATATAAAGCACCTGCTGTTTAAAAGTTGCGTTAAGGATCCCTGTTCCGATACTGTGTTCAGTGCGACACTTTCAAGGAAAAAAATAATATTTTTAAGTCATCGCCTCGCAAATCTTCGTTCTTTTTTTCTGATAAGTCGGATAAACCTGACAATTTAATTGTTCTTGCAAAGGAATCTAGGTCAAAACGGCCGCAGTGTAAAAACGGCCCTAGTTAAAACGGCCCTACTTTTTAAATCGTCATATACAATTTGATTGGATTCTAAATTAAGCTAGCATTCAATTTATTTCCAAAAAGATAATTATTATTAATTTTAGTGAATTTAAATCGAGGGTGTCAGCCAACAATGCATACATTGTTGTTGTCCAGCTCTTGCCACGTGGAGGCCCCCTCTGTAAGAGCCACACGAATTTAGTCTGCCGAAGTTACTACCGAAATTTCACTAAAAAAATTGTCCAAATTGAATACAATGTTTCTAATTATCAAACCGTAAATGTCCAAATCTGTAAAAACTGTTCACATTATTTAATACCCTACTGCTGCTCAGCCGTCGTTCTCGGGACATAGACGTGGCCAACCCTCTTCAGGAACGCCGAGGTGGAGATGGCATCCTGGTCGTACTGGTCCCACAGCTCCGCTACCTTCCCCTGGATTCGGCGGTAGGTCGTCCTCTGGTGCCTCTGGAGTGATGACTCGGACACCAGTCTCATCTGGATGCTGACCAGTGAGCCTTCCTTCAGGAGCAGGGGAACCAGGATGTAGAACGACAAATTGGCCCGTCCCGCTATGCCGTTCAATCTATGGTGCCAACCTGTAACAGATAAAGTTAAAGATAATGTAAATACGTGTATGATAAGTGCGTGTAGTTATTATTTACATACTTTTACCGAGTCGTTCAATGTAATAAAATATCAGAATCCGAGTTTTCTGGTATAATAGTTGAACGGTAGATAAAATGACTTGGAATGTCCGTTCGGTTTACTTACCACGAAGTCAAGGTCCTTCGGATCCCGTGGCCGGAGGTTCTGGCGTAGGCGGTTGGCGGCACGAGCCAGGTAGTCGGGTCGGGGCAGGTTGAAGTCGTTGTGGTCCAGCTGCTCGGACAAAACGGCCTCCGCGATGCTTACTGCCGATCTGTGAATATCTGCAAGAGCCGAATCCTTCACCTTCAAAATAATAACATGAACAATTATATAATGATTAGTACTATATATTTCAATTTTATGCATGACTTTGACATTCAACTGAAATATAAAGAATAGGTTAATGAATATCATGTTAATTTGACTATAGCCTTTTAANCTCTATGAAGAATGGTTGCCCGACACCAGATTGTCTTGTTTCTGACGCTGCACCTCCATGATGTTGTCCTGTTGGTCACGGTCTGTAAATAAAAGATGTTAGGTTTAAGATAATAGAATAACAGAAATACGTCTGTATAACTCGATAGTATATTTAATATATATTGTTTAAAAAGCCCAATTAAATATGTATTTGTGTGACACTTTTTTATGTATACCTTGACGGTGTAGGCAAATCCATCAGAACTAACAAGCTTCCGGCGGCGCTTGTTGGATCCCTCCTCCACAATCTCGAAACGGACGGGCTGGTCTTCCAGGACAGAGTCGGTGGGTACAACGTCATCAAGTGATATACAAAATTATATCGTTATATTAGATGCGGAAATAAAAGTTATTATTTCTTGAATAATTAATAATTACATTACAAATATTCATACACAATTTAACAACAGATACCTACTGTTCGACAATTGGAGGGTTGTCCTGAGACATTACAAATATACATACACAATTTAACAACAGATACTTACTGTTCGACAATTTGAGGGTTGTCCTGAGGCCGATCGGGGAGATCAAAAGTCCCATCTAGTGTGTCGTCGTCCATCCCACTGATGTTCCTGACATCAAAAGAAGCGTTCAGCCTGTTAAGAGATATAAAAAAGTATTCGTGAATAATTACTTAACATAAAGCCAAGTTGTAAAATTACAAGACAAGTAAAGCGTAACAAACCATTTTATGATATAATTAGATTAGTCTGCACGTATGTAGCATGTGTAACAGTATTCGTGACTTACTCTGCAGTCTCCGCGATCCCTTCGGCTGCTGCGACCTCAAATGTCTGGTTGGCGTCATGGCGTACGGGGAACAAACCAAAACTTCTGAAGAATAAATAGATTAGATGTTGGAAATAAAAGTTCACATATTGTTTTCTAGATTTATTATTTCATACATGTTCGGAGAGTATAATTATGACATTGCGCTCTATTTTATAAATACCTTGTGCTATTCCAATTCATCGGCACAATGTATGTTGAGTCTGCAGGTGGGGCTGGAAGTACCGACAACTCCAGGGTGGGAGGCTGGTCCAGACTCCTTCGTGGTGGTGGTGGCGACATCGGGAGGTTGGACACTTCCAACACTGGAGGCTATGAAATGGAAGAAATGAAATACTATTATATAGTTTAACTCCATTCATCTCTTATATTATATCTTATTATATATCTTATATCCAAAAACACTCGATATGATACCGAAAATCCGCTATTTATTTCTTACCTCATTCTGTTGGACGATGTAAGTGGAGCCAAGGTTCGAGGCAGGATTTGTCGATGTCGGAGTGACTGAGGGTGGGTCCGCAATACTCGTCTGTCGGGGAAAAAGATATTAGTTTAATGGTAACGTTAACGGGTTAGCACGGTAATTTGTATATCGACCAATTTTTATTATTTTACTTTTGATGTGTTATATTTCTTTATCATCAGTTCTTACCTCATCAATATATGGCATAGTGGGGTCCATCATCCTGGTTGCCTCTAAGACGGGCGGCTGCTGGGGAAAAATAAGAAAAGCTACATAAAATATGTTAAATAAATCAGATTTCCACAAATAATGTACTAATAGCTGTGTTCATTCGTGAACCTGGTAAGGTTCAGATATCGATGACCAGGTCCTAGCTGAGCTAATACCAACAGGCTATGAATTCCACCACAATGCTAGACTCGGCAAACGTGGTGGTGGGGTGGCTGTTCTGTTTAAGAAAGGCCTAAGTGTGAGACATCTCTCTTCCAGCCATGATGATGTATACACACACTTTGAGCACATGACTTGTTCTGTCATTGCTGGTGATAAACAATTTAGATTGTGTATCATTTACAGGCCTCCACCATCTAAACAGAATGCTTTCCGAAATACAGTGTTTTTTGATGAATGGTCTACCTTTTTAGACCACCAAGTTGTTGTACCACAAGAGATTATTATCACGGGTGATCTAAATTTCCACTTAGACGATCTATCTAATGTTGATGCTCGCCAGTTCTCTGGTCTACTAGATTCCAGGGGTCTGATTCAGCATGTGACAGAAGCTACACACACCCATGGCCACACACTGGATGTGGTCATAACGAGGGAAGATAACTCAGTCATTCATGGAGCTATTTCAGTCATTGATCCATGTCTAAGTGATGTAAAGGGGAACCAATCTGGTGATCATCTTGCTGTCCACACAACACTGAATTGTAGTAAGCCAGCTCGTGCAAGGAAAGAAGTGAGCTTCCGGAAATTCCGCGAAATTTCAATACCAGATTTCAACAATGACATTCAGTCTTGTTCCGCCCTTCAATCTACTGAAGGCAAGGTTGATGATCTTGTTGAAGCATACACATTTGGTATAGAAGCCCTTATAGAGAAACACGCACCTCTGCAAACTAAGGTGATAACTGTGAGACCAAATGCCCCGTGGTATAATGAAAATCTCCGCGTGGAAAAACAGAAACGTAGACAAGCAGAGAGACAGTGGCGACGGACCAAATTAACCGTTCACCAACTGATTTATAGAGAGCAAT